CGAAGGAACTATTGGCATGCATGCTGCAAGAAGAACTATGTTCAAACATAACTTTCTTTCAGATGGGAAGTTCGTACCCACTGCGCCACATGTCACATGGAAATAAGTTCGCAGTTAATCTTTTCCAAATTTTGTGAAACTAGCGCTATACCTAAACAGAACAAAACAAACAAAAAACACAGCGAAGCACCTAGCCGAAACTGTCATAGCCCCGAGCCAAAGCTACCCGACATGAACCCAAACCCTAAACCTACACCATGCGTAAGCGGTCAAGGAAGGGGTGGTGAGTCCGTGCTTGCCCTGCCTTGCAACTCAGCACGCATGGCATGTTTCAGGGGCCCCGACTGCTTTTTGCTGCGCAAGCCAAACATCGCAAGTGACGCAGACAAACAAAAAAATGAGGTCGACCCCGCGGAAGCCCGCAGAGAGTTGCACGAGCGAGGAGAAAAAACAACTCGAGGTGTTGAGGGTCGACATACCCAAAGCGCAGAGGGCTCACTGGCTAAGGGCTGTGAAGCCGCGCCAAACGGTGCCATCTCCGAGCCCGCTCTGGGACTGCCTCGCACCCGCTTCGCACCCGCGACAAACGTCGTGTGCGCCCAAGAACCGATCTCAGGCACAGGGCCAATTGCTATTCCCTCGCGAGCTCAGTGCTCTTGCCTGCTCATGCCTGTTTCACGCGAAACAAATGCATTTCTCAGAGCGAGCGCGGGAGAGAGAGAGAGAGAGAGAGAGAGAGAGAGAGAGAGAGAGAGAGAGAGAGAGAGAGAGAGAGAGAGAGAGAGAGAGAGGGGGGGAGCGAGAGAGAGAGAGAGAGAGAGAGAGAGCTCAAATAGTTCCAGTACTAATTACTGACTTTTATAGATACGTTTCCTTTGATGATTACGTTCGCTGCCCATGGAAACCCTACCCACACGGCACAAAGTTACCTTGTTCGCATCTCGACCCCACGCACTACGCAAAATGTTTGCGTCCAATGCTCGACCGCATCCACGCAACACCAAATTAAATGAGTACTATCACCTAGACACCTGCTCATGACCCCATCCACAGCACCCAATGATGGCGCTCACCGCTCAAGGCAAGCCAAATGCTTGAGTCCACCGCCCAAGGAACATCCGCTAGGCCCAATAATCTTCAAAATGCAAAGGTCATGCAACCCTGGGCCCCACTTCAACCTTTGCAGGCCGAGCAGAAAGCACGGGAAGCCACACTTGCGAGCCCGGTCATGCCACCAGCGCAACTTCCAACTGTGGGACAGGGGCAAGGGGCTCAAGAGTTCTGGCCACGGCGGCCAGTCCAGTCCCTGGTACCGACTGAGGCACAATGAGCTCGTCAGGCAGGGTGTCAGCCAGGAAAAGCTCGTCAGGGGCCCTGGACTCGTCTGTCGTGGCAGACGCCATGTTGCCTGCCTCCTCCCCAGGCAAGATTGAGAAGGTGGATCAAGCCACTTAAGTTCCAAAAAGGTACAACTCCCGCAAGCAGTGAGATGACTGGTGACAGGTCACCATTGCACATCTTGCCAAACTCGCACGCTCCCGCTCCTGTTGGCCCGTGGAATTACCAGGATCCGCAAATTCGTCATCGAAGCCTAGCCAGCACATAGCCAGACTGACATGGCCATAGGGGCTTCACTACCCTTGCCTTCCTCACCTGATGCGTCTAGAATCTGAAGCGGTTCCTTGGCGTCCAAAGCAGCAATCTGGTCCAAATGCGTCCGAAAGACTTGCTCAAGAAAACAAGGTCTTCTTTGCTACTAAAATGTTTCCTTCTGCTCACAACAAGAACCCTGTTTGTTCGAAACTGCCCCTAAGCAAGGGTCAGCATTGTTCGCCTCAGTCTCAGCCTGCACTTCGGTCTCCCTGGTAATCAGGGACTGTGTATAGATCTTGCGCTGCTCCTGCAAAGCTGCTTGCGTGGTGCTGACCTTAGGCTTGCTTCTCCCTGCCTAGACTTCTCCCAAAGCCTGACAAGCAAACTGGGACACAGAAGATTACCAAGACCGTGAGCTGATTTCTGCCCAGCTGCCAAGGAGACAGCCTCCTTCGCAGAAAGCTTTCCCAACCGCTGTGTCACCTCGAGAATTTCATCGGGCTCAAAGTGGTGCAAGTGCGAAAGCTCGTCGTGGAGATGGCTTCTGCTGTGCAGCGTGGCGTTGATCTGCTTCTTCCATTTGGCCGCAAGGTGCCGCTTGGCGGTCTTGCTTGGAACATGCCTGGACGAAGTCGTCAAAACGCAAAGAATTTGCACTGTGTCTGCCGGGAGCGTCTCTTGATCGAACTGGTCCAGCCACAGCGAGGCGAATTCCTCGAACGCCTCACAGGACACTTTCGCGCGAAACCTTTGCTTCACAGAACACTGAACACAGCTCAGAAGCAAGGCCGGCCTTCACAATGGTACGCCGCTGGAAAGATGACCCAAATCGCAGAACGTGAGCCCTGGCGCCTTTGGCCAGGGAAACCTGATGTGAATCTCTCTCTCTCTCTCTCTCTTTCCGTTGTTGCCCGGGTCTCCGCTTCAATCAGCGTCTGAGGTGGTTTCCCATGCCAAGGTTGAGACTACTGCATGACACCGGACTAGCCGACTCATCCCTTAAACTGTAACCGGTTGACAAAGGCCTTTGAACCTCCATTGAACTTGTTTTCTTGCGGTTGGCTTCGGGCGATGTCTTGCGAGGCGCCGCCCTCTTCAAGCTGCGGCTCCCTGTGGCTTCAGCCTCGGCCTCCTCGCCCGGCGGCACTGCGCTGATCAAATTGCACTTGTCGCCCACCACGGACCACCTGAGCACCAGAAGCAACTCACAGGGCTGGTGCTGTGTGCAGGTGCTGGACGGCATGCTGGCCGAGATGGTTGCTGCGAAGACGTGCTGGTGGCTGCTGGGGGATTGGCCGGTGCAATTGTCCAATTTTGGGTGAGGGAAGCCCTTTTGCCAGCACCCAGAACCCGCGCAGTCACCCGGCACCTGCCCCAGCACCTTCTCCAGCACCTGTCCTGGCACCTGCCTGGCACCTGCCTGGCACCTGGCTGGTACCTGCCTGGCACCTGCCCCACCCCCCCTCCACTCTCAAAACAACTTGCTAGCTGCTGCCGCGTCTCTCTACCAGAATCTTCTCATCCGCGGATTCCTGGAAGATCGGAAGGGCGCGGAAGATCACGGCTTTCTTAACTTGATCTCAGGATCGCTGCTGCATCTTCAGATTGGGGAGTGCATTGGGGCGGCAAATTCATTCAATAAAAATACAACTGCTTCCTGCGTGAGAAAGCTGATTTGTGAGTTGACTGTCTAACTACCTCACCCCTCACTCTTAGAAGAAGTTGACAACTCAATTGCTTCTTGAAAACGTGATGTGACATGATTGGGGCTTGAATGGTAGGCCTTCAAAGATCGTACAACCGCAAACCAGCCTTGTATGCGCCTCAAAATCGGGATGCAACCCCCCCTGGGCCTGCAATTCTGATCAGCCAATTCTTCTTCTTTGGTTGTCGATCCTTCTTCAGGCTGTGGGAAGACCTTGTGTGAACAAAATCCTCCTCATCGCTGTCCTCCAAGTCCTCCGCCTGGTGCCGGAGCAGCTGCACCAGGACGTGGAGCCCGAAGTAGACACAGATGCCCCCAAGCATGGCAGCCAGGAAGCCTGCGAAAACGTAGGTGATCTCTGCCGAGGGGCTGAAAATCAGCAGCACTGCCACCATGCTGAACAGGAGAAATCGGAAGCTCAAAAGGCACATCTCCAAAAAGTCCAGGATTTCGGCCTGGGTATTGGTGAAGGGCCTGCACCATGCACAAATGGCAAGCATCGATCCAGATACGAAAGGGAACAAGAGCAACTTGGCTTTCTCATCATCTGCTATCGATGTGTATGTGACCAGGTTCATCATGCCAATGTCAGCTCGTTTGACGATGATGTCCCACCACCAGAATCCAGGCTCGTAGCCCTCAATGAAGTATCCGTATTTCCGGTAGTTCTCCGGGTTCTGCCTATCCTTCAGCTTGTAGATCCGAAGGAACAACAGGATTGGCACGCCAGCACACCAAATTGCAAGTCCGATGCAAGCAATCAGTGAGGTCAGGAAATGGTCCTTGCTCCAGCATACGATATCCGGATGCGGGAGCAAGCGTTGTTTTACAACAATCTTGCCCGTGTCATCTTCCTCGGAAAATGGCGTGCACCAAATCATCTGCAGAAACTTCGACAGCAATTCCGGCCACCTTAGGCCAATGCTTGCGGCTCAGCAATTCAACAGGCTGGTGGCACAAAATGCGAAGTGTTCGACCTCCAAGAAACTCAAACATATAGCTGGTCATGGGCACAAAGACAAACCTATGTCAACTTTGCGTTCGAGCGACATTGCCAGAAGTGTCACCCAGAACACTGGGATGCACTGCACAAAAAGCTGCTTTGCAAATGGCTTCGAGGTGAAAAGGCCAAAGTCCAGTGCTTCCTGACGCTGCGCCAGCAGGGCCATAACATGCATCACACTCGGATCAGAATGCATATCCAAGCTGCGGGGTCCATTTCAGTGGCTTTCGCTTCGCCGACCTCGGCAAGCTCATTGTCTTCCTCATCCCCTTGCTCAGCTTTCTGCCTGGCTCAAAAGGGAACGGTCTAATGCACTTGCGAGTAAAAGCCGCACGGTTGCCTTCAAGTGGCGAGCCGTGGCAACAAGGCACATCTACATGGGGCTGCGGCGATGCACCGCGCCTGACTGCCTGCATTATTTCCTGAAGCTTGTCGTGAAAGGTAGGCTGAGCCTCACAATGCCCATGACATGCCCAAGACATCCCGTGACGGTGACTTCACGTATGCAGAATGGTCAGGCGCGGCACCGCTGCGGCGTGGAGCTCTGGAGCGGACTCGAAGGCTGCTGCGACCTCAAGCCAAACGGCGCTGGTTTGCCGAAAGAACAACAGCGCTCTATGCCCAAGAAACCGGATACAAGCCACAAACCTGCATGCAAGACTGTGCCAGCCCAAAGGCATTCCCACAGAGGATCCCCAACAACATGAGTACAAAGACACCCTAAAAGCAATCCACCAAACACCTTCCTCAACACATGTCCAAAAGCATCTCAACAATATCCCCATAAACAAATCGTTGCCAAAGACATGTCCAAAAGCAAATCCAAAGACATCCCCACAAGCGCCCCAAAACTAACCCCAAAATCGTCCCTCAAGACATCCCCAATATGTTCCGAAAGACATTCCCCAAAAAATATGTTCAAAGACATGACATGTCCTAAAGACAAATCGCCAAGGACTTTCCCAAAAGAGAAAATCCCAACAGACATTTTGTAAAGCCCCCCCTCCAAGACATCCTCAAAAAAAGACCACGTGGATTCTGCCAACGACACCCGCTCCGAAGACACCACCCAAAGACACCACCCAGACAACTACAAAGACATCCCCAAAGACATACCAAAAGGCACCCACCCTAGCGTCGTCACCTCGAGACATCTCCCAAGCACGCCAGCCAAGACAACCACGAAAACATGCCCAACGACATCCCCCCCAAACACAAAATACACATCCAAAGACATCCTCAAAGACATTCTCTTGAAGCTCTCCGCTAAGACCACCTCCAACGCCACCCCCGAAGTCACCCCCTAAGACACCACCCAAGACAACCACAAAGACAGATCCAAACCCCGAGCACTTTAGACATCTTCCAAAGACGTCCAAGCCTCAACCAAGACAACGTCAAAGACATGCCCTCCCCAAAAAACATCCCCCAACCTTCGAAAAACATCCCCGAAGGAATCCCCAAGACATTACCCAGACAACCACAAAGACGCCCGTGAAAACACCTCTCTTCGACAAACCCTAAGCTCACCAAAACGAGCCGATTGCCAACCAAAACGACACTCGCGCAAACACTGTTTCGAGCAGTCCGAGCAAGACGCATCAAAACAACCACACCAGAAACGCAAATCAGCTGGCACGATGCAAACGTGCACCTGCGAAGCGAAACGACGCGCAAGGTCGCAAAAGCTACGATTTACGCAGGGGCACAATGGACCAAAAAAAATGCGCACGAGTCATACAAATCGCACGTTCTGAGCCTTCCCCAACGGCACGGCCTTGACATGGGGAACGGTTGCGAACGGTTGCGAACGGTTGCGAACGCTGGAACAACACGACCTACACCCCCAGACCCCCACTTATAAACGGGAACCCTTCGCGACGCATTCAGGAAAAATAGCCACAATGAAAGCCGCTGCAAGCTCAGGTGCTGCATCTGCAACGTCCTCCTTCGTCAAGCCATCCTCGTAGAGGCCACGCAGATTCCAGGCCAGCGCACGCAGCACCTCCGTAGTAAGTCACGTGGCAAGGCCACAGCCCTTCAGCTCAAATGGAAGAGCTAAACCCATGCGCTCATGCTCAGCAATTGCAGGCAGTTGCCATGCATGACTGTGATGTCTGGGCACGAACTCTTGGATCAGACTGGTATCTTTCCTCGGCACAACCATCACATTTGCAGAGTCACTGCCGGCGGCTTGAGAAGCATGCGGTCACGAACTGCCTTGTGGAAAATGCTGCCATCAAGAATCTGGCCTGCGGCTGCGTCATGCAAACCTTATTTGCGCAAGTCAGACAGCACAATGTACGGCAAGTCTGCAGGCCTGATACTTGAGACAACTGTGCTACAAGTTCGGGATAGAATCCAATCGCTGCCAAGCGGCGATCATCATCTGATCGCAAATGCCGGATCAGAAAGTTGGGATTGTCATCAGTGAAATCGTGCAACGCTAGTCCTACCTCTTCGAGAGCCTCTGCCTGAGCAGGGACGTCAAAACATTTGGACAGGCTGCACACTCCACATGCTGCCAATCTGCTAATTCGTGACTGGACTTCATTTGGTGGAAACCTCAGCTTTTGCAGTGGCAGCAGTCTGACCATGGACTCGCGAACAGAGTGCAACAGCTGATCTCGGTGAATATTACGGATAATCGGATAATCTTGACGTGAGATGTTCCTCGGCGAGGGGCACATCTTCAAGGCCAGCTCCGGCTGGGAAGTCAGGCAACCTTCCACAAAGAGCGGTCGCTATGCTCACTTCAAGGCCTTCAAGGTGCATATGCAGCGTCATGCGCCTAAAATGAACTTCTCAGGATCTCCAGCAGCTTGCTCCAGGACCCACACCGGGTGTTTGTCGAAAGCACCCGACTCCTTCCAAGCACCAAGAAGCTCTAGAAAGCGCTCCAGACAGACAGCCCGCATCTTAAAAACAATGCCCCTGCAAACTTGCCCTGCACAAAGCGACCAAGACACTCCAGCCTGTACGTCTTCCCAGCACAGCCCATGAGCAGGCAACACCGGCCCAAGAGGATCCTGCAACTGCCGTATGGCCTTCGACCTCTTCATCTGTCCCTTCGCTACGTCATTGAAGTAAATCCCCAGTCTGGCGCAACAAGGGATGAAGACGTAGACCACCAGGGCGCAGAGTAGAAGAACGCCAAACATGCCTGCAATCGGGCTGAGGACATAGTAGAAGCCAGAAGCAATCATCTTCCTGAGTCCAATCAGGCCCAAACGCCGGGCTGGAACGACCCACAAGAAGACTACCCCAAGACAAGACTCGCATTCTTGTCTCCTGGCAAAAGCTCCTCAGCATGGCACATCGCGGCAAACTCCACGGACGCCAACTTGGGCCTTGGCATGGGACACGGCCAGGTGCACCCTGCTCGGCATTTGCAGCTCTTGAACATATAGCACAGTAGAAGAGACCGTGCAAGCTCTGAGATCCCCACACGACACTCATAACCTGGAAGAGCTGGCTCATGGCATCTGTAACCTCCTCCGGCCACGGAAAATTGCCCGCCTGATCATGCAGGCAAAGTGGAGCGCGACTTGGCAGGAAGCAAACCAACTCTTTCGTGGCCTGTGGGTTGAGGTCACACTCAGTGAGGTTTGCTTCAGCGCAGGCTTGAAGTTGTTCCATCTCCGCCGACTTCTGTGCCCAGTCGAAGCCAGGCAGCCGCTCAAGATTAAACTGCGTCAGGACGGAGCCTAGCCACACGAGTCTACAACATGCATGGAATGTACTGCCCTTGTAGCCAAGCATCACGCAGCCAGCCACTGCGTTCCAATGCCTCACACAGACACACAGACACAAGCACGGACACAGACACAGACACGGACAAACACACAAAAACACTGGCACAGAAACAGAACCACACACGCCCGCCCGCCCGCCCGCCCGCGCACGCACGCACGCACGCACGCACGCAAGCACGCACGCACACACGCACGCACGCACGCACGCACGCACACGCACACGCACACGCACACGCACACCGCACACACGCACACACGCACACACGCACACACGCACACACGCACACACGCACACACGCACACGCACACGCACGCACGCACACGCACACGCACACGCACACGCACACGCACACGCACACGCACACGCACACGCACACGCACACGCACACGCACACGCACACGCACACGCACACGCACACGCACACGCACACGCACACGCACACGCACACGCACACGCACACGCACACGCACACGCACACGCACACGCACACGCACACGCACACGCACACGCACACGCACACGCACGCACGCACACGCACGCACGCACGCACGCACACGCACACGCGCACGCGCACGCGCACGCGCACGCGCACGCGCACGCGCACGCGCACGCACGCACGCGCACGCGCACGCACGCACGCGCACGCACGCACGCACACACACACACGCACGCACGCACGCACGCACGCACGCACGCACGCACGCACGCACCCACCCACACACACAGAGACAGACACAGGCACACACACTTCACATTGCTTGAACAGGGAATCAAGGAAGCAACGGCGGTTCAGGGAGGGGACCAAAAGGACATTCACAAACATTACAATTGCAGGTACGTTCAAGGGCGTCCCGTTGGAGTTCACCAGCAAAGAAGGGCGTCCGCGCCCCCTGCGGTAACAGCCAGAGCCTAAAGGTGGTGGCAGGGTATTCTGCCACTCCGCACACACACGCCCCTCCAGGAGGGGCGAGCAAGACCTTTGGCATCCGGAAGACCAAATCAGCAACCTCCTAGTGTCTACCAAAATATCCACAGCGGCGAGGAGAACGTGAATTAGCACGTTCTGTGCAATGCCGCTCAGAAGACGGGGACACAGGATCACCAAGTTGAGCTGGAAGTAGTACGCCCCCTTGCGTGGCAATTGATGGCAAAACGGGCGGAAAGAACGGCGAGGACTGATGTGCGGTGTCTGGCAGTGGTGGGGAGTAGGAGAAGAGGTCCATCAGGTTGCGATCATGCTGAAATGGACCGCGCTGGGATGTCCCGAGTTGCTCCACCTGAAAGGAGGTATCCGGGTTCTGCACGACATCAAGCGGTTTAGCCAAGGCATTGTTGACGGACAAGGACTCGTGGCGGGTCAATATCCGCTGGTAACCCTGATGCTGCCAATCTTGAATGGTCCAGGCCTTGTAGTGATGATGCGATTGATGACTCTGCTTAGATTGCCAATCATCATGTCCTTGGATTTCCTCTTGTGGTGGGACAACCGGTTTCCACACGCGAAAAGTGTTATCCGGTAGAGCAAGCACATCCTCATGTTGGCGCCATAGTCGAAGTTCCCCAGGAATGTAGACCTTCACCCATTCTTCTCCCTGCCAGAAGTGAATATTCCAGCCATCCAGGTCCCGGGTTTGGGCTGCAGCGTCAATTTCCATGCTGCGGTGGAGGAGGGTTTGCACCACGGTATGCGATCCAGCTACGAGCGCAAGAGAATCTGCTAACATGCGCAACGAACAACACACAAGCACGCAAGACAGCAAAACAGCACCATTTTGCTGCATGATCAATGCTCCTCTGTCTACTCAGTAACCACTTCAAAAATGGACTTCCCCTTGACGTTCGAACTGCAAGGACGGCCTGTAGGCGGATAAGGTTCAGTTGATCCGCGTCTTCAGCAGTACGTACTGGTTGCTGAGTCGTTGATGCTTGCCGCAATCGATCCGCAAGCTGTTGGCCAATCCCAGCCTGTAGACGGGTGTGTGGATGCATCAGAAGATCTTAAGATCGCCTGGGGACATGCCCAGCAATGATGACTGCGTGGCCACGCTGTGATGGTCAGGGGATAGACTCGAAGCCAAGTCCCGCTCAGGCTCAGGAGCAGCAACACGGCGGTATCTTTCAGTGGTCCAGTCACGTTTGTACCATGCGAGAACCGTGGATTGGAGGCCATCAGGAGAGTGAACTTGTCTGTGGCGCAACTTCCATTCCCGATGTGTATAGCGTGGATCATGTTCCTCATGTCGTGTCCATGAACCTGGGTGAAAGACTTTGACCCATTGGGCGTCAGGTTGTTGAGGATCAGGGCACCACTCCAACCACGGCATGACTGCGTAAGAGCTGACAAGCACATCCGAAATGCACACGGCTGCAGGCAACGAACACTTCATGCCATGTGTCACAAGAAGTGTCAATCAATCGCAAGAAACTCGGTCCATCACACAAGGGTCATGCAACACCGAACGCAGCCGTTTACACCCAGTAGCAACTAGTGTGACGATGTCACTCGCCCCAATCAAACTCGGGATCATTCCAGACATGCGGTGGTGAAGAAGCACGCCAACCACCATCTGAGACCGAGGTCCGGTGGTCCAGGTGGGAACCGAGGCCGTGCAGGTGCCGGGTGCGGCTTGCCTGGCTTTTGCCACCCTCTGGTTTTCCAGTCACGATAATGCCAGGTATAGAAGGACACATAGGAGACCGGCTGAGCGCAGTGGTGCCTCCCGTGCTGTCACGGGTGATAGACCTGAAAGCGGTAGAACTTCTGCCACTCGCGATAAGTGGAAGGGTTGCCTGTCGATGGTCCCCAGGTGTGATCAGCTACTGGTTGCCACGGACCCGGCATGTAGACTTGAATCCATTCAGAAACGGAGTCACCAGGACCAGCAACTATGTCGTACTCGAAGTAGCGTGGGACAGTCCACCTCCCGGTTGTCGTCGAATTGAACATGATGCACGAACCAATGGCGGTGAGACAACGCAAGGGGCATGAAACCGAGAAATCTGCGAGAACATGCTCATGTAAACAACTCAAGACAAGTCAACGCAGCCGAAGCTCAGTAAACGTGCAACGCGGAAAATGTTTTGACTCAGAATGTTTGCTACTGCCGTTGATGGCGTGCACATCGGCAATGAAAGTGCCCCGGCTGGCGTCGCGCACAAGGAGAAAGGCACTTCCGGCCACTGTGTAGGAATGCATGGCAGTAATGTTTGCATCGCATAGTGCTGGAACGTGTAGCACGAGACGATCTGTTGGTAGTGAACACGGTGAATGGTCTCTGTGAGTAATGCGTCGCCGCCGACGCTGTGATGCTCCTCACGGTTCGATCTCGCTTGCGGACGTATTTGGATCCACGCGTAGAGGATGCACTCCGCGAATGATGTTGATGTTGATGATCACCTACACCAAGATGACTAGAACTTTGTACTGATTGTCTTGTGCGGCTGGGAGATGTGGTAGCCTGGCATGATCCGCCACGTGGGAGTGATGGTGGTGGGGAACATCGTAGTGTAGGCATAAACTGAGGGTGAAGTATTTCCGGTGGTGGAGGACGGAGGAGGTGGTGGTAGTGGAACAGAATGAGGAGGTGGTTGTGGAGGCGCCGGTATGCGTATTTGTACTTCACAATGTGTTCGGTGCTCACGAGCGTCTTGCGCAGGACCATGGTATTGTAGCCATGCGGGATGAGCTCCATGAGTCCAGGTGATGAACGTCTGAACATTTTGCTCCATCATGTCTTGATCCATCATGTCTGCATGCAAAGCAATGCAAGGAGGAGCATCAGACAAAACCCTCAACACTCAACATGATTTTCACGGCTTCGGTCCGAGTGAGCTCGGAGCTGTCTAATTTCGGCCTTTCTTCTGCTGGGAACGGGCAATGGTTTTGTAGGTGGGCCTCGCGTCCTTGTCCTTCTTCCTCCTGACCATCTCATCCAACTCCCCTTGCGTCCAGGCCGTAACTGGTTCGTTGTAGGCATTGCGAAGCGCTGCCGTGAATTCTTGTAGAAGTTCACGAGGACCATGCACCGCGGTAGGAGATGGGCGAAATGACGAAGCACCTGGGTGAGGACGGATAGAATGTTCCGAGTCAGAGTCCGGGGCGGAAGTTGGAGTGGTCACGGGTCCGCGGTTGACGTTGGTGAGAAGCGGGTTGATCGTAGTGGGTGCGGTCACTCTGGGTGGAGGAAGGTTTGCAACGAGGGCAGTCCTGGGCGTACCTCCTGGTCGCGTTTCATGTTCCGCACCTGCCCCCGGAGTAGCATGACGATCTTGACGAGGAGGAGATAGCTCGGGCACATACCACGTTGATGATGTGTCCAGGAACCTTGTCCTCCTGCGTGGTGGCGATCTGGAGCGGTCCGATGTGATGCGCTCAGTAATGATGCGTGGTCGCAGACCATGACGCGAGTTGCGCGGTTGTCGGAGTGCCAGACTGGCATCAGACTCCGCACTCCGATTCACTGCGAGGGCATAGTTCAAGGTATCCAGAGCAGCTGAGATTTGAGAAGCGAGGGCGTTGAGGACGGTAATCAGGTTATTCACGAACTCCGCGGACAGCCACATTGCAACCGTAAGCAATGAAATGACAAGTCAAACAAAGAGTGGCTGCGAGACAACACAAGCACAAACAGGATGAAACAATGCACGCAACCGCTGCGTCAAAGAGCCGAATGTCTTTTACCTGGCACCGAGCATCAGCGGCCTCTGGGCAGTCCGGACGGACGGCATGCTGGCATAGGCAGCGCTGCAGGAGAAGCTTTCGAAGGAGCACCTCGGTGTTCTGTGGCGACGGTTAAGCGGTCTCCTGTAGCGACTTCTGCTCCGAGATCGACACCGACGCACTTCTCGCCTTCGTGACCTTCTCCTCCGGTTGCGTTCCCTGGAGGCACTGTCACTAATGGGCTCAATGGGATCCCCGTCCGCCAGATTCGCGGAAGTGGCCACAAGCGTGATGGGCGTCGAAGTGAACGATGCCCTCGTTGGTGGTGCCTTCGGCGATGCTGGTGCCGGTGTCCGAGGAGGGGGCAATGGTGG